TCATCAGCGATTTGATTTATTCTGAAAATTTTCTTCATTTTCAAATTTTACATTTTAAATTACTTTTATTTTGTACCTCGTATTTTGTTGCAACTAAACTAAAACAAATTGCTGCGGCTGCTGCTGCTGCTGCTGCTGCTGCTGCTTGCGGCTGTCAGCTGCTTTTCATGCAACGCTGAGTTTTTCGGCTTGCGGCAACATGCAAATCAGTTGCTGCCTCTTGACGCTAATGGCCACAAATTGTAATGGCAGCGGCCCAATTTGGCCAGCTTGCAACAAGTAGCAGCCAACAGCAACAACAGCAACAGCAGCAGCAGCAACAGTTGCTGTTGCACTCACTTAATTTTTGTAGCTTGTGCCCATTATCTAACTATTCGCAAACTACCTAATACATCTGATTAACCACTCTTAATATGCATATATACATATCTATATACGTATCTATATATATATACCTATATCATCCCACTATGCTGCCTCTATCTATCTATCCATCTATATGTGTATCCATATGCATATAGACTGCAGTTTGGGGAGCAACAGGTACTATTTTGTGATTTCATTTTAGCCATTATAGTGCTCTGCGCAATCAATCTACTATGTATACTACACCTAAGCTATAACTGTCTTGATAACTGTAATACCTGCACCTGAATAAGGACTCGCGCGTAGCGAGTAACTAAGCAGAGCTTTAACTGTATTTAATACTAAACTAAATACTAAAACTGAATTCGATTACTTGTAGACTAGTGTATGATTAGCTTTAACTATATTTGATACTAAACAAATACCAAAACGGCATTCGAGCTTTTCGAATGGAGTTCCTAGCCCTAATATTCGCATAACTTTATTTTACATTTTAGATTCGAGATTCTTTTTTAAGTTTGAACCTTTGCCTCGCATTTGACATACCAAAATTTAAGAATGTACATTTAAAAATACTAAAAAACTACCAAAATAATACAAAGTTCGAGCCGCCGTTTAAACTTTTGTTTGCTGGTTAAACTAACTTTAATTTTAAATCAAAATTAAACTAGCTCTAAGTACTGTTAGCCGTAAGCCTTTATATAAATTTGTTGCCTGACACTTAACACTGTTTGTGAACAATTTCAATTGCATGCGGCAATTAATTAGACTTCCCAGGTAAAGCTGTAAACTATCAATTAACAAAGTAGTTGTCTGACTCAAAGTATGCTTAACAAATCAGTAACTGACTAATCTTTGCCTTATCTCTACCGTTCACAGAAGTAAGCCTGAATATACGAGTTATACCACGCACTTTCCGACGCTCCACTTGCATTGCAACGACTCCACGCTGGCAGCCACCACGATAATTCGTCACCAGCCACAGCCACAGCCACAGCAGCAACAGCAGGCACAATCATGCACCAATCAAAACAACAACAACAATAACAACAACAACAATTGCCGTTCTCTTAGCCAGACACGACGTCATACGATTATTTCCACCACATTGACCAACTACAATCAGCAGCTGGCCGCCGCGGCTTATCCACGTCGCGCCTCCATCGGCTGGGATGGAGCAGAGACAGTTGCGCCTGCAGTGGCCCATAAGCCGGTGCGTATAACACTGATTGGTGAGCCCTTGCCGCAACAAAATGGCGGCTGTCACAAGGCGGYGGCGACGACGACGACGCCGCCATCACAACAACAAAATGGCGTCAAGGCGCACTTTCTGAATGGCTGCCAGAGCGGAGCGAAGAGCGCGTTGCCGGGCGCCCATTATCAGCCGTTGTACAACAGCAACAAGATGACAAACCCAACCGTAACTATAGTCTGATTTAGATACCCTACACTGCAAGCAGCCGATACTCCACAAAGCTAAATGAGGAGGATTATATAAAACGCACAAGTGTCAAAAGGCGCTTAAGCTACAAATTCATTCAWATATGATTAGAGAACAGTTTAATATATATTTTAAAAAATATATATCATATATACACACAAATATATATTGTTTTGCAGTCTTACCAAACCAGTAAAAGAAATACAACTTAAAGATTCAATTAAATTTACATATATAATACTCTAGTTGATAAGAAAATTGCCTACATTTATCTTTGTGTACAAAATAAATATATGCAACAAGTTTATAAATTATATATATAAAAAGAAAAAATAATATGAATGGAAATTTCTGCTCTGTCTAGTTCTTAATTACTTAATTAATTGTTAATTATGTTATTTAATTTGTAGTCTAAGCTTTAGTACATTCTGTAATTATTTCCTTTGTGGTTTATTTAACTGTATTATAGTATACGAACCACTTGATGCTACAAATATTATAGCTACATATACTACATATATATATTCTACTTAAAGAGCACAATAATCGTAATTATCCAAAATATTTACCATATGAATACTAAAATCCAATTGTAAACAATGCTAAGCTTATTAAATAGAGTTCTAGCCAGATGCTATTTATCTATAGAATTGGGTGTGTCATCCTTCCTTTAGCGGGAATTTCTCAGGTGAGCATTTGGTTTATTGAGAGCCATCACTCCAATTGCCACTCGTCTGTGAAGCAGCTCTTCAGTCACCTACAGAACCGGATCAGCTGCTGCTGCCGCTTCTGCTTCTGTTGCCAGCAAAACTTGCTTTAGCCTTGTTAGTTCTTATCAACGGCTGCGTGTTAGTCACTGTTGAGAATTCGATCTGGAATGTTGTTGAATGCGCAACCTTTGCGCCTAGGTCCAGTCCTCTGGCTGCTGTGCTGCGGCCTTTCCCAGGTGCTGAGTCAGATATGCGAGGCTCAAGGCTGGCGCAGCTTCGAGTGTCGTGAGTTGAGCAGCCTGAAGGAGCTGAAGAACGTTAGGGACTTTCCCAAAGGCAACCTGCACAGGCTGAGCATTAGAAATGAGCACACTGAGCTGAGCATGGGCATAGGTGAGTCAGGTTCGTAGTTACCACAACTGCAGCTCAGCTCAATCTGTTTTGTAGCTGCCAGCGGGCTAAGTCTCTCTGGGCTGTTGGACTTGGATCTGTCGCATGTGCCACAACTGCTGCTGGAGCGACGTGGCTTCTCCTGGCTGCCCCATCTGGAGCAGCTGAATATCAGCGGCTGCGCTCTGGAGGAGCTTTTGGCCGCGCACTTTGCTGCCAACTCATCGCTGCAGCTGCTCGACGCCAGCCACAATGAGCTGCCCAGCCTGACAAAGGAACTCTTCGGCAACCTACGCAAATTGATTTATGCAAATTTCTCACACAATTCGCTGCAGCAGCTCGAGCTGCCACACATGCCGCTGCTGCAGCAACTGCAGCTCAGCCACAATCAATTGACAAGCTTCAGCTTCGCTCTTTGTCCTCAGCTGCAGCAGCTCAACCTGAACGATAACCGGCTGAGCCAGGTGAGTAAGCAAGAGAGAATAAAATCTGCCGAGGCAACTGCGACTTCTGCTTTGCCTATACGACTTAAATTATGAATTGAGCTGAGCGGACGTAGATTGTAATCTAGTCTACATACATATATAGTATATATATTCATTTTCTATTACACACGATTTTTCTTAATCTTATTCCGTAAGAGAAGAGCGCCAATTCAAAACTAAATATGGCTATCGATTCAGTTTATGATGAACCAAGCCTATTCAGCTTTGATTTAGCATTATAGTAACAATGGGTTAAAATAGTGTAATATATGTATATAAATGGCATAAATGTTAACCAGTTGCTTTATGCAATATTAGACAATTACTTAGCGATTCATTTGCTTAGATCATAGAATACAAGTAATAATTAAAAATCAGTTAGCTAATCAGCTAGCGAATTTGCTCAGTAAAGCTCAATTTCCTAAACGACTTTCTAATGCTTACAGCTAGATGCGACTAGCTTCAGAGGATTAGCTGGATTGCTCGAGCTGCAGCTGGCGCAGAATGCTCTACGGACCATAGGCAAGGACACCTTTCAGCCCTTGGCTAAGCTGCGCGTCCTAAATCTTTCGCACAATGAACTGGATGCATTGCGCCCACAGATCTTTGGCTCTGGCGTGATTGCGCTGCAGAAATTCAATTTATCCAACAACAACATTCGGCTGCTCTTTGACAACCAGTTCCGATCGCTGGGCAGACTTCAGGTGCTGGACATATCACACAATAGCATTGTCAGCCTGAACGCCGGACAGTTTGCGGGTCTGAGCTCGTTGCGCAAGCTGTATTTGCAGTCCAACGATATTATAGAGATCAAGGCGCACACCTTTGCAGCACTCGAGGATCTGGACACGCTGGACCTGTCGCACAACAACATTGAGTACCTGCACGAGCAGGCATTCGGCAATCGAACTCTGCAGCGCATGCGTAAACTGAATCTGAATGCCAACAACTTGAAGCGTTTGCATGCGCTGTCCTTCTCCTCGCTGCCCTTTGTGGAGTATCTGTCGCTCGGCAACAACGAGCTTTCCAGCCTGGATGTGCGCATGTTTGCCCCGATGCGGCGTCTGCAGAAACTGCACTTGGGACACAACGAGCTGACCCACATTAGCTCATTGGTGCTGGAAAGCTTCAGCAGCCTCTCGGATTTGCTCATCGACAACAACAAGCTAACCTTTCTACCGGATCTGAATGGCACGCTCGGCAATCTGAAGCGTATGACCATTGAGGGCAATCCCTGGCAGTGCGCCTGTTTCACACAGCTGGAACGTTGGCTGCTTTCCAATCATGTGAGCTATCTGCGGCAGGACACCGGCTTCTACGACGGCGAGAAGCCCCTCTGCGTGTTCACGGCATTTGAATACTGTGTGCAGACACTGCAGGAGGATCGCCATCAAGATTTGGTGAATGAGTTTGAGGAGCGACTGAAAGACGAACGCGAATTAGATGTTAGATCAGATGAAGACTGATAAGTGTGTGTTTGTGTAATTTTTAAGATGATCTGCAATAAATGTACTTCGATGCTCCTCGATGACACCCCTTGAAGGCAAAACACAGCCAGTTGGTGAAGCAGCATTTCATTCCAAGACAGATATTGTATTCAATGTTTTCTACATTTTGTGGTACATTTCCGATTTGTGTTGCTGCGTCTCGCATTTCTGTATAATTTTACAAATTAACAAACTAAAAGTCGAGTCGTTTAGGCGCTCTTGACACGGAGAGCCAAAGCAGTCAAGTCACCAATGCACTTGTTCAGCGTCTCCTTCTCCTGCTGGGGCGAGATGCTGGACAGCACGCTGGACACAATCCAGTTGACCATATGCTTCTGGCTGAGACGACGCTCAACATGACGGCACTCAACCTGGTAATCCAAGCGGCGCTTGACCTCAGAGTAGACGTTCATGGTACGTTCACGGAATGCAGCCTCAAGCTGGAGGGCAATGTTCTCCTTCTTGGCTTCCATCAACAAGAGGGCACCATCAGCGCGCCATTGCTCCTTCTTCTCGGCTTCAATGGCATCGGCGAGAACCTTGAGCTCAGCCTCACGACCCTCCTTCCATTCGGCTTCAATTTTCTACAGAAAAAGATATTTATTATATATTCCACTCAATATCAGGTTGACACAAACTTACGTCGATTTCACCATCAGCCCATTTGGCGATAAGGGGACCCAGTTTCTTTACAGCAATAATAGCCATGATACCAAGCGACAGACCGCTGTAGTATTCGTGCTCCATGACGTAGATTTCCTTGGAGCAGAGATAGGTGATCAAACCCACGCCAAATGTGTAGGGGCCGGTGACACCAGTCTTGTTATAAAAGAACTGGAACCATTCCTCTGGAATAAAGCCCAAACGCACCTTGCCGGGATGTTCGGGACGCTGACGGCGCTCAACAGCTCCGCCCGCTGGCTGAGCAGCGGCAGCAGCTGCCGTACGGCTAGCTACCAAAGTCAATGGGCGCTGGGCTATAAAAAAAAAAAAGCGAAACAGGATTAGTAACAGTTTGCATTTGATCACTTGCCAAAAAAATCAATTTTGACATTCCTTGTGCGAATTGTGCCCGTGATTACATAAACCACGATGGCAGAATTCGCGGTGCCGTAACAATTTTCACGGTCGTCGCTTGGATATATTGACAAACGATTTGTGAAAATAAGCCACAATTTATACACTTGAATTCAATTCTTTTGCAATTTCTGTGCTTACCTGTAAGGAGTGCGGCTCTTGAGAACATTTTTGTAATAATGTTTCAACCAATTTATGCTACTGAATTGACGTTCGGGTGCTCACCTACTCTGAAGTTCACAATAAAACACGAACCGAAAACTATCGCATATATCGATTACAAACAACAGCCGATAACATTTATAATCATCTGTATAACGTTGCCAGATGCGAAAGCCAACAAATACCAAATTTAGTACTCACTTGTTGCATGGTATTTTTGGGTTTACTTTTTTGATATTTTTAAGTACACCATTTTTTAAATTTCTCGCGCCCTTGTCATTTATATCAAGATAACAGGTGACTAATTTGAGGCGAATTATGTAGTTCACCGAAACTTATCAATACTATCTAATCCTAAAAATTCCTGAAGAAAATATGACACAATCATTTGCTTATCTGTGTAACTTTACAAGTTGTTTTATTTAAAAATATGACAATTCGCTAAGTAAATTGCGTCTAATATAACATGAATCGACTGCGAAACATTTTGCGTTAAAATACTTTTACAAAATACTATAAAGAAAACATATTTTAAAAAATATAAAAATAAGCTTGTAGGATTTATGCATATATTATTCGTTTCGTTATTCAGTTCTCAAAGCTATTTGTGTGCACTTTTATAAATAAAGCGTTAAAACATGAGCATCTTTGTATTTTCGTTTTGTGTTTGCCTTTTATCTTTTTTGCTAAACTAACTAAAATGACTGTCTTGTGCGTAGAAGATATAAACCTACAAAGAACATTAAATAGATTAAATTAAAAAAATAATATAGATATATAGAAGAAGGTATGAAATCACTTGCGCTATAGGTATTTTGTACAGCATTTGAAATAAAAGATGATACGACTATTTACAGCGGTGAACATATACATATTTAAAAACGTTATTATACACGTATATAAGAGCTTTATACAACTTTCAACATAGTTTGTTCCTTGATTTGTATATATAAAACGAAATGAATTGGCTCGCCTAACATTAGAAGTGAATGTTGCGTACGGTATTAACAGGACGATGCTTCAGATACTAGACAGACGTTACATGCATAGGTGAGAGCACACTTATCATACACAGTTCTCTCGAGTGCCGGAAGAATGATTGGGGTAGTGGTTGCAGTCCGTTTGGCTCATTCAATAACATTGAAGCGTGTTAGCAGCTTGTGGTAGAACCAACGTACCATTTGCTGCACGCGGGATGCCATCCACACGCAAAGGCTACCAGTGTGACGAAGCTTGGAAGCGTAGTGCTTGAAGTGATCTGTGTGGCAGGAGTTAAGATAACCAAAAGTGTAAAGAAACAGTGAACAAGAATATAAAAGCTATAATACAGTAGAGGAATTTGATAAAAGGATATAATAATGTCCAAGGTGGATGACCGCCATTTATGTAGGTCACGTACGTAAAGCCGTCCTTGCCCTTGCCTCGTATATTATAATAGTAGGGCAGGAACGAATGTAACGTAAATCTGCAAGCAAAAAAAAAAAAAAAAAAAAAAAAAAAGAAATGACCATTAATTGGCTAAAGACACGCAAAACCAATACATGGACAATCTGGGTTAATGGAGGTGTGTTACCTTCTCTTCTCGTAGAAAAATATGGCAGGTTGATTTGTGGTCAGCGTGTGCAGGAAGATTGCCTTCACCGCATGTCTTTCTACTGTCGTCAAATGGTTCATCAGTGCGTCCAGTAGCAGCGAACCGATTCCATTCCGACGATGCGAGCGATGAACACCCAGCGATAATATGTACCCCACGTCAGCGGTGCGACCCATTGAGTCCGGCAATATGCCTTTGTCCTGCATGGGAAAACCGCTCAGCCTCGTGTAAAACTCATCACTATCACTGATATTGGCTATTACCTCCTTATTAACATTTCGATACGGTTTGATTTCAGCAACAATTAAACCAATTATGGCCAGATTATAAACAGCCGCTAGCGCAAAGAAGCGCGAGCTTGAGGTAATATCCTCGTACCATGACAGTGGATAATCGATTGGAAACCATTCTTGGCACAGCGTGCGAACCTTGGAGGGATCACAATTTGAATGAGTATGTTCCTTAACAGGTGTGCATGCTTACCTCCGTCAAATCATCGGGCACTAAAAACCTTAGCTGGACATCATTGACCGAGCACAGTGGTACATGCTCGCAGTCGACGCGTGTAATGATATCGTTGTTTGGCGGAGCATTGTGTTTATTGTAGCTAAGGGCAGCAGGCACCCAGTAACCGAAAGATATGTAATAATTAATTTAAAATGTGTGAGWGTGTGTGTGTGTGTCGATCATTATGTATTAGTAGGCGACGGCTGCCATTTCACTTGCATAATATTACGCGCGTCGTATAGCACGACTTCAGTAAGTAGATTAACAAAGTTGTCTCTATATATGTTATACGTACATATACGCAATACAAATAGATATATAAACGCACCCTCCTAGGTAGGCCCCGGCAACAGCAACAGCAATCGCTATCGGTGCCGTCGCCTTCGCCGTCGCCCACTCGCCCCGTGGTGGACTCTGTGCTGAAAGAGCCTCGCTTGTCTACTCACAGCGTAAATTGTGCCATGCTAGTGGAGCTGTTGCTCTGATGCCACCGCCGCTGCTGCTGCTGCTGTTGATGCCGCTGCTCTTGTTTCCACTTAGAGCAATTATGTCCATGGAGTGTGGTGTGTGCACCACAGGTTAAGCGCGGAATTTGATCAACTGTCTGTTTGTGCTATGATAGTCTGAAATCTGAACGGTGTGTTCTCTCTGCGTGCGTTACTTTTTGTGTGAGCGCCTAATTGATTTTAATTAAAATTCACAATCGCAGCATAAAACCCACTTGCTCGTTYGCTCGCTCGCTCGCTAGCTAGCTGGCTGCAGGCAGCTCTTTTATGAGGTATCAAATATCAAAGACAAACTGCTGCCTTTACTGCCAATAAACTCCATTTAGTGCGAGCTAGCTGACCAGCGTTGATACACACCCGCATTTCTTGCATGAAATAAACTACAAATTTTCCTAAGATATTTCTTTACATTGTTTATTACAACGACTAACGTGAAAAGTTCACTGTGAAGAGCACGATTGCTAGTGTGGAACAGCTGCTTTGCCATTCACACAAAAGCAGCGACGCGATGCCACTTGAGCCCAATGCATTAATGCCCGATTGTTCAAGTGAACCGCCGAATTCAAATGCATATTTCAAATGTGCCTTTATTGTAATTATCTTTTATTTATATGTTTTAATAGCGCCTAGCCTGGCTCGAGGCTTGAGAAGTGCTGGCAACCGGCGCTGTAGCTGGCTTCGTTGGATCGTCCAGCACTCGCACCACCATTGAGCTCTTCGGACCCGTGCACCAAGTTATGCCATGCTCATCCACGACAAATGTTTCCAACGTCACCTGAAATTGGCCGCCACTGGAGATGGGCAGCAAGAAACTACCAGAGAGGAAGTCACGTTGTGGCTTCACAATTTGATTGAGCGTGACTGTATCGTTGTTGGGTGACTTAACCAGCTCGTTGCCAGGGCGTGGCGTCAGCAGCTGGGATGTCAGACTCAGTTGCACTGAGTCGACGCGTCGGAAGTGTTTCTGCTGCTTGCTAAAGTGTTGCAGCACGCCCTCCACCTTGATGACCAAATTGCTGCCCGACTGCACAATGACCGGCTCTGTGGCACTGCGAGGCTGCGGGCTAACCGACAGCTTGATCTGTGTGGATTGCAGTATCTGGAAGAAGTAGCGCGGCAAGCAGAGCGGCGTCTTCGTTATGATTTCAATCAGGGCGATGATTACGTCTAAATGCCTGTTGCTAATGGTTTTCGCATTGGGCGGTTCCTGTGGCAGGTTCTTCTGCATCTGCTCCATTCGCTGGCAGCTCGCTGCAAAGAAGCGGGTCTCCGGATGATTGCCGGTGGTCAGGAAGACAGGTGGTTCCGGCGGCGTGGCATAGCAAATTGATTCGATGATATGAGCGAAGAGTGCGCACTGGAATTCGGCGACCTCAAGAAACTCCAACGTGACATTATCCGCATCGAATGACGACTTATAGAGGCGCGCATATGTCTCCTCGCAAGCCTTCAGCGACTTGACCAGTTTGCGCAACTGATTCGTAACGTGTCCAAACTTTTGCAAATAATCGCGTGAATTCTGGGCCAGGCTACCTGCAATCGCCGGAGGCGGCACAATCACCTGCGCATTCTTCACCGTCACAGCCAGATGCAGAGTCTGGAGGAACTGTGCGCGCAACTTCAGATACTCCAGTTGGAAGCTACATGGATGTTGGGGCGAGGAGCAGGCACGCATGCTGGCCAGCGCCTGCTGATATAGATTGCTCGCCGCCTCCAAGCGCCTCATCAACGGCAGCAGTGGCTCCGGGGCTTCCGTGGGCGCATAATTGTCCCGCATGTAGGCATATTCTAGGCCATAGTTAAGTATGCATTCGGCCTGCGAGATCTGCGCCAGTGCGACCAAGAAGTAGTGCATGTGATCACTGATCACAATCTGTGAGACTTTCGTGTAGATGTGCGCCGCCACGTAGTGATGCCCATAGCGGCTAGCCGTGCGAGCAATGCGATAGAGAGTCCAACAGTTGACGCGATCGATGCACTTCTCGAAGCAGTGTATCACCTCCTGGGGCAGATAGCATCCCATGGTCGTTTGGCACACCAGGGCGCTAAGTATTTCCACTGTGCGCAGCAACTGCTCCGGCTGCTCCTCGCTGTCCACCAGTTTGTTGAGCTTGTACAGAATAAGCGGCAGGCGGGCGAGCATTGGATTCGGCTGCAACTCGAAAATAYATTATTTTTATATTTATTACTTTAATATATAAAAGAGGATTACCTTAGGTGGTGCAGGTTCGTTCGTTTCCATGGATGCGTCATCCTCCAGTCCTTCCGCCGTAGAGAATGCGTACTTGCGCAGCTGGAAGTGCTCACACAGTCCCACAGCCGCTTCGCAAATGAGCTGCAAATTATTGGGCGGATAGTTTACATTGTCTCCCAGCGTATTGGTCACCATCTCGACGAAGTCGGCGCCAAAATCCGCATTGGCTTGGGTAATGCGTATGCCATACGTCAGCACACGGCGCAGATCCCGATTGAACTCCGCCCGACGGGCCGTACAGAAGAGCAGACCCTCCATATGCAGGTTTACCATATCCAGGATGTCGTCCACCTGTGCCACCTGTTTCTTGAGACCGAAGGCCAGCAAGGCAGCCAGCACAGCCATTGCCTGCGTGGCTGTGGTATAATCATCCAATTTGCTGATGCACTCATTGCAAAGCCGCAGCAAGGCATCACGATGCTCACACAATAAATGCTGGCAGGTAAGCGGACACTCGCTCAGCTTCAGGAGTATTGAGAGGAAGAGAAACTGTTCCGCTCCATTCGTGCAGAGATTGAATTTGTTGATTAGAGCACCAATGGCAGGCTTGGGCCAGGCGTTGACGCTCTGCTTGTCGGCCAGTTCATTGAAGGACCGAAGTACTTGGATTCGCACCGGCGTGCGCAAATCCTGCATGAAATCGAGCAACACGTTGAGCTGCCCGGGCACACCCACCAGCGTACGCGCCGACAATTGAGTGAGTGTATTGATGATGGCCACCACAAAGCTCTGGGCGGGGTACTTGGGCAACAGCTCCAGACACAGCTTGCTGACCAAGGCCGCTGTATTCGCATCGTGGTGCATGTGGCGGAGCACCGGAATAAGCAGCAGCTTCATCGGCACAGGCACCTGCAATGACTCAATCATATCGGAGATCTTTGCGCACATGCTGATGGCAAAGGAGCTCGATTGGGCGGCGAAACAGCTGCTCGCATAGATAGCGGCCTCCACTTCCACGGTGTCGTGGCTGTCGAGCGCCCGACGTATCGCATGGTGCACCTGTGGCTTCTCTGGTATCACACGTGACACGGCGCCAAGAGTGCGAAGGAGTAGGGCACGAGCCACTGGATCGTTTGAGTGCATCACCATAAAAATACGCCGCACAAAATTGTCAATGTTGAGAATCTTGTCCAGATGATTCTCACTCTGCTGGCACACGCGTAGCACCCAGAAGCGCAGAAGATTCGAGCCGCTCACAAAGAACTCGGCCAATTTGATGAAAGACGAGTTTATAAGAATGGGAAAGGGATATTTCTCAAAAAGTCGAGGAAACCGCACGATCGCTTCACATTGTATGCCCTGCTTTGCGCTGCGCAGCCCCTTGTCCAGCTCCATGAGCACGGCATTTGAATCGTGCTCATTGTCGTTGAGGAACGACTCGTTGAACATGCTTACACGTGTGCCCGTTAAATGCGCCATTTCTCAACTATTTATGTATGCACATTGACTTTTCAAAGTATTGATTCACCAAATGAAAACAATAAACAAATCCACTACAGAAACCTAATGCAGTTCACCGGTTTGCCATTCGACTGTAAACGTATCACTAACATGAGTAGGTTTGATTATCATTATGAACATGAACATTATTCTGTTATCTTCGAACGTAACAGCATTCCAACAGATGTTTCTGTTAGCGGTCTTTGTGAAATTGTGTTGCCGGTTTAAATTGTTGAAATTATGTTTGTCCTGACGAAAGTAGAAAATGGTTTGTAGACTATTAAAAATACACTCATCGATTATATATTGACAACAGATGTATTGCAGATATGGAAAAAATCCTTTTGATTCCATCAAAAGCGACTTACACAATCGGTCGCTTGTCAACAGACGTGATTCTGAGTGAGGACCTTAGTATAAGTCGCACTCATGTAAAGATTTGTCCTTCAAATGGCGGATCGCTGACTGTGGAAGATCTAGGCTCCAGGTACGGTACATTCATTAACAATGACATTGAGCGTAGCAAAAAGATGAGTGCAAAGACGCCAACTCCACTTCACATTGGAGACAGGATTCGCTTTGGCGCTTTGAAGAATGTGTGGAAGTTGTCGCAGCTTAAATTGCTGACCACTGCATCCGCGCTGAACGCCACTGAGATACACGAACTGAATAACCTCATAAAATCATTAAATGGGGCTATCGTGCCATCTTGGACGGATGAGTGCTCGCACTTAACCATGGATACGGTTACGATCACAGTAAAGCTGCTCCATGCACTACTAGACAATAAACCCATTGTTCGAATTGATTTCTGGCGAGAGTTAGTGAAGTTAGCTAAGCGTGTTCATGTGCCCAATGATTTGCCAAAGCCCGATGACTTTATGCCCATACAGCCAGCAGATATGCCCAGCATCAAGTGGCGTCCTGAACGCACCAAACTCTTTGCTGGAAAAACCTTTGTATTTATGAATCGAAAGCACCTCGACATGTACGGTACTGTCGTTCAGAAGGCAAGCGGCGCATGCAAAGACCTGAACTCTGGCGTACGAAAGCCGTTTCTAACTAAACCAAATGTTATAGTCATACAATATGTGTCCTCTACTCAATCCCAAGCGACAGAAACTATTTTCAGCGTACAAGGTAAGTTTACTTGACAAATATAAATTCAAATGTATTATAATCTAGTCAATCTTTTCTTCCAGGTATTTTGGAACAAGCTGGACTCCGACCTGTACCGGATTACGAAATCGGCCTAGCCATTTTACACTGCTCCTTGGAAAAGTTTTGTAATCCGTCGTACAAAGTAACTGAGAACTCATTGGCTACAACCGAGTCTATGGATTCTTCGATCTTGGTTCCAAATACAGAACGCAGTCAAGCACAACGAGCCGCAGACAAAGCATCCGAGTTCTTCGTCCCCGAATCCCAGAAGTCACAAATATATGCGCTAAGCACTGGAAGTGAAAAGCAGTCATCGGAGCCAAAGCCGGAACCTGTCAAAAAACCAACCAGGATGATGCCTAAGAAACGAAATAATGCCATCTACTTGGACTCCTCCTCGGATGAGGACATTCAAGTCGAAGTGGTGGAGGCGCCAAACAAGAAGGCTATGACCGTAATTGAGAATAATTCGAAGCGTAAAATTGAAAGTATTTTGGATTCCTCTGATGACGACCAATCAAAAAAGAAATCGAAATCTTCGTTGGAGCCTAGCTTAAATAGTGATGTGGGTATCCCACCTGAAGACACCAATCAAAAGAATGCAACAGAATCAGCTACAACTCCATCTAGACGTTCAACTCGTGCCCATCCGCTGCAGAAAATCGAAGCGGAGACAAAGAAACCGGAGATCTCGCCTAGAAGATCTGCACGTGGGAAGCCGGCTGAAAAAAAGGCTACATTGCAAATAGTTCGGAGTGATAGTGAAGACGATGAGGAACTTTTCCAATTCAAATCCCAGGCCTCAGCACCTGTGGAACAGGCACCAATCCAGCCGACTGAGACCAGCACGGCGTCCGAGAGTATATTGGCGAAACAAGCTGCGCCTAGCCCAAAGATCAATAAAAGAGGCACGATTAGTGTGAGAAATTTTCTGGAAAAGTCACAAAGTCAGGCGTCAAGTCAAAACTTTGCTCCACCTGAATCTCAGAAACGCAAACGTCTGTGCCTGAAGCTAATAAGCGAAAGTGATAGCGACGATGATGAAAACCTTTTCCAGTTTGGCGACGGCAGGAAGCGTAAGCAAACGCGCGTCGGCTCAGACAATGAGTCTGATAATGAAAATATGTTCAATTTCCAAGGACGTGATCAGCAAGAACATAGCAAAGCTGCGAGCGAACATGATGAGGATTCAGTTAGCACAGAACCATTTGTAAATGAATCAAAACCAAAATCCAAGTACATTGTGCGCAAGCCAAGCGAGCAGCCCCGTAAACTAAATGTAAGCGGCTGGCTATCATGTAGCGGGCTACATGAGGATGTCAAGCCGGAAGTGAAACCAGAGTTACAAATGGATGCGGATGCAGAGGATGCAGAGATCAAGCGAGAGCTGGACGACGAGGATGATAAGGAGAAGCTGGATCATATTAAATGGCTGGCCAGCCTAAAGGATAGCATACAGGTGCGCATGTGCAACATGAGCATCAGCGTTAGATCCGCAGACCAGACTGATGCAGCAAACACAACTGACAACAAATACAGCGGTCGCCCGAACTTTAAAAAGTTTGTTAAGGTAAATAGAGGCAATCAATAAATAACTAACGACTGCTTTTAACTAATTTTTCTCTCTTTGCAGAAGAGCAATGTGCACGCACAGCAGCATACTGTGGGACTCAAGCGTATGCAGCTGGCTGAGGGCATGGTCTCTAGTCTGTAAGTGCAAAATAACTTATTGATTTGTGCGTTTCTTCGTGTTATATTTTACTACCAATAAATTTTCGAAATATATTCAAAGCTTTGGCTTGTTCCCTAGCCTGCAGCTTGCGCTCGAAGAGCGTTTTAGCCGCCAGCCATTCGTGATTTTGTATTGGTTTCGTTACACAGTTCTCGGGATTCTTTTTGCGTGCCTTGGATTCACGCACGATGAAGTGCTTCACATCTTCCACGGTGGCCAGCGAACTCAGCTGAAAAGCTGTCTCTGTCGGAGCTATTGATGTTTCGCGTGCAACTACAGTGCCCACATCTGCCTTCAGCTGTTGCTTGGCCTTTTCCACTTTCGTAATTAGGGAAGGTGACTGTTTAAGGAGTTGGACACCTGCAGGGCTTGCTTCCTCGGGTGTAGCTGTCTGGATTTCCTTAATCACCTGCAGCTTAGTGGGCAATTTACAGTCTTCGGGAAGAAAATTATGTTTTTCTACTTGTGGAAATTTGGTACACTGTGGTTGCAGCTTGTTATACAATGTGGCACAATTGTTGGCTTGCACGAAGCTCAGCTTATTTATCTTAGCTACAGCTGCAATTAACAGGGTCAGAAACTCCATGAAGAAGTTGCTGCGAATCATTTGCCCAAAGTATTTGATAGCCGCCTGGCAGCAGTCACGAATGCGTTCATGCAAACTATAAAAGGCTAGCAACCGCACCAAGACAAATTGCAAACTGTTTCGGGTGGGCATATCGCCAGAAAGCTCCGCATCACAAGCATCCGGCAAGGCTCCGCGAAAATGTTCCAGATCGCGAGGTAGATCAAGACGGAGCAGTCGGCAAAGCGCTGCATTTAGTTTGCAGACAGCACGAAATCCTGGCATCCCGCGAAAAGAATTCTTACGACGTGCCATCAGGCGTCCTATCAAGGCTGCTGTATTGTTGAACTCCACGAAGTCTGGTCTGGATTGCTGCTGCAGGTAACGGTTGATAGCCATATAGACATTCTTTGCTGTGTGTAGATTGGTTCATTATATAAGGATCTTAAAACTTCACAATATAGTACACCGTACCAAATCCTGTTTCCTTAACTTGTAAGGTGACTAATGGAGGCTTTTTCAATTCGAATTCGTTCCAAAAATGTAAACTCGCCATGCTTGAACAAAATGTAAACAAGTATGTTACCAATAGCTGTTGTCGAGGCTGCCAGATGTGCAAGTTTAGTTTTTGGTATTTTTTTTATATCTTAGACCAATCAAAATACTAATAATAATAACAACAATATTATTATTTTAGAGTAATGACAGGGATCAAATATAACTTCACTTTGAGCTTATATAACAATAATAGCATGAAAGGCTTGTTTTTTGGCGGCTCCACAGCTTACGATTTGGCAGCACTGAAAAAGCAGAACCGTCTGGCAGCTCTATCTTTTCCATATGATTGCCTCCACCTGTCAGCTATCAGTTTCCTCGAGTATTTACCGCAGAGAGCTGTTGCGTGTACCACTTAAATTTTCTGTTAATTCCTGTTATTACTTAATAAAGTCGCCTATATTGTCCTACAAGTGGCGTGGTTGCCTGGTGTTAACTGATTAGATAGTAGTTGAAAGCATACAACGAAATGTTAGTCATAAACAGAATTAGAAATGCAGCGATATTATCGCTGCGTAACGCTTACATTCGAAATTGCTTGAGCAACGAATTTCGAGCAGCAACAAATTCCACGCGCACTTTCTCGCTGGGTCTGGCGCTGCGGCAACAAGATGTGTAAGTGGCATCTAATGAACAAACACGCCCAATGTAAAACTAGGAAATTGTAATGTTTAACTCTCTCTCTCCCTCTCTCTCCTCTGTGTCTTTCACATAGTGTGAATGTGACCTTCGTCAGAGCTAACGGCGAGAAAATTAAGAGTTCCGGGAAGGTGGGAGACTCGCTGCTGGATGTCGTCGTTAACAACAATGTGGATCTGGACGGCTTTGGTGCCTGCGAAGGCACACTGACCTGTTCCACTTGCCATCTAATATTCAAAGAGGCAGACTATGAAAAGCTGCCGGAAAAGCCAGGAGATGAGGAATTGGACATGCTGGATTTGGCATACGAGCTAACGGACACCTCCCGATTGGGTTGCCAAATTACACTGACCAAGGACATGGACGGACTGGAGGTTCAGGTTCCTGCCACAATAAACGACGCACGCGCAGCGTAAATGTGTTCCACTGTTCAAATTTGTTAAATTTTTGAGTGCTATTCGCTATAGTTAACATATTTCATAGTCCATTATTCAACCCAAATTGTTGTACAAAACAAAGGCTCAGGCGGTTTTTATTAAGAGTGACTTTTTGCATAAATGAATTTTAATTGGCAATTTGTAAAACGAGAAATTTGTAAATATTTATGTGTTTGTAAATAAATAGGTAGAGTACATTTGAAATTTTCATAAAATATGCACAAAGTTCTCTATGTGCGTATGTAAATTCAACATTCTTATGAACTCCGATGTGTCATACATATATATATTCAGCCAATCCCAGCAAAAGTAAGAATAGACACGTTTTTGTTTTAATAAAAGTAAACTTTTTATTATTTCGCAGCTATCAGATAAAGTAATAAATAAATAATTTAATATATACATCTGCTATATTAACTTATTKTTAACGATTTTCAGCTTTGATTTTTTATTTTCTTTCGTTTTTTATCCGCTGTGCCATTTAAACTCGTAATTTAGATAGTTCTTTTCTTTTTTTTTTGCGTTTTTTCTTGTTTTGCGTTTAAATTATTTATGTATAACTGAAACTTAACAAATCTGACAATGAGCAAAATTACGTCACAATTTTCGTTTATTTCGATTCGTTTCGATCGTTCAAGAACTAAAGAATCATGCAGATAAGGCGAATCGTTGCCATACGAAATTACAATTCAATAAATAGCCAAAAACAAATTAAAGTAATAATAATAAATAGTTAAGGAAATGTTGTAGAGCATGAGAAAGCATAAATAAGTTAGAAATTAGAAGTGTGAAATGAATAGAGGTGCACATAAAACTGATTTGGTTTTCAATTCACGCCGTGCTAATGATGGTGCCATGGATACCTAGTGTGTATGCGTGTGTGTGTGTGGTGTATGTGGTGTGTCGTGTGTGTTTGTTGTGCCTTCTACTTAGTTGACATAGGCCATGCCCGCGCCCTTGCGATCGAAATGGCGCACGCGCACAAAGAGGAAGGCGGCGACTAGAGAGGCCACAGCCAGGACGAGCAACAGCATCACCAAGCCACCGACAAAGCTGGGCACAGACATGCAAATGGTCTCGGCATCGGCTGAGCGCGCCGATTGGATCACCACCGTCTCGTTGCTGGCATTGCTGTTGAGCGCAAAGTTGACATCGCCAGGTGCCACCACCTGAATGATGCGACTCGTGTTCACGTCGGTCATCTCCTGTGCGTTACGTTTGTAGATTCTTGGCTTGACCACAATCTCCATTGTGTCGCGACGCCGGCGCACGCCGCGCAGATCATCCAGACCCTCAACGGAGCGTGGGCGGCCACCCAGGGAAACGAGATTGCCACCGCTCAGCTCATCCTTGCGCTTCACGGTGCTGTATTGGCCAGGCTGGCCAGGCAGTGGTGGAGGCGGCAGGCCCAGTTCGTTGCTGCCCTGCTGTGGCTGCGCCTGTGGCGCCTGGGAGCTGGCTGGACCGCTGCCCGCATTGTTGCCCGCCGACTCGGCTGTGGTCACCGCTGAGGTCTGGGCCTGAGGCGAGGGCACAACGTCGGGTTGATTCTCGGAGTAGGCGCCGCTGGCATCGGCAGGATGGCGTGGATCGGGATAAGCTGCTGGAGGCAGACCACCCAAGGCAAAGTCATTGCGTTCGTAGGCCTCTGGTGGACCGTACTCCTCGGAGAGCGCATTGCCGCCGATCTGTGGCAGGCCGTACTCACCACCAGGCAGACCGGGTCCGCACTTGGGCTCGGGGCAGTTGTAGCGGCAGACCTGAATGACGCACTGGAAGTGCACGTTCATCGAGTCGGGGAACTTGAAGGCTTGGAAGTAGGCAAAGCTGACCACAGACGCGGAGGGACCAAAGTTCTTAATCTTCTGGAACTTGCTCATGATCTTGGGCCGGACAACGCAGCCATTTTGATCCACCAGCTGAATGGGAGCACGCTTGCCGTCATGAGCGACACAGTTGCGCACGAGCATATCGAACTTGTTCTCGTCATCCTTAATGGCCAGCACCATGGTCATGGTTTGTCCGATCTTCACAATGCCTGACACTTCGGAGGCCCAGGGTCCCTTGCCCACCTGAATCTGCATCCAGCACTGAAGATTATCGCCCAGGAAGTTAGCTGTGACAGCGTGCAGCATGTCCACCTGGAAGGGGCGGAAGGTGACCGCCTTCTCGTAGAAGTCGTACCAGGTGCAGCGCAGTTTGCGTGCCTGATCCCAAACCTCCTGCACATAGGGATCGTATTGAATAATGATTGTGTTCTCCACGTAGCTGCCCGATGGAGTGGGTGCACCATAGCCAGCCGCATTGTGATTCGCCGAGCTGCTCATGCCGCAGCTATTCAGGAAGATCTCAAAGGTGGCGCTCAGATGGCCCGTGCCCGGCTGCATGTGCACGCAGTGCGACTCGCTGTAGAAGCCCTTCGAGAAGATCATGCCATAGAAGGGCCGGTCGAACTCAATGTTCACGCGCATGTGTGTCTTCTCGCACTGCACCTGCAGATGCTTGATCTGCGGGCTGTCGTTGGTGCTGGCCAGCGGCCAGGCCTCCTCGGACAGATCGTTGCTGGGGCCAGCGCCAGCGGTGCTCAGGGGTCCCTGTGGTGCGCCATAGATGGGTGCAGGCGCTGGCGGTCCATAGCCAGATCTGTGTTCCAATGGCAGTGCGGCCGATTCAATATGTGATGCATCGCCATGCACGGAAAGATGCTGTGTTGGGAGAGCAGAGAAGGAAAATCAATAATATTTGCAAGCTAAATCTTGGCAAGGTAAACCTAGCTATACAGTGAAACCATTCCCAGTAAACCCATAGCTCAGACTGCTCTACTTTCTTATCGAGTCCCCATAGCGAATTGCTTTCGTTTCCAGATATTTCAGCTGAAAGGTATTTCATTGTGTTGCAAAAGATCTGAAAACTCTGTCAGCGGAAAAGCTGATGCGCATGCTTGGCTGCTCATTTTGTCATTTAATTTGCGACGCCTTATGCAATTCGAATCGAAATCCAAAATCCAAGCGACAAGCGCGCCTTTTTCGAAAGAAGCGTGCCAGAGCGTTGAAAATTGCGGCGCAGTTTATTTATGTATTTATGTTGAAATTGAATGGCCGAGTGGAGCGAGGCACGTTTACCTAAGCCGAAAGCAGGGCCTATTGCATAAGCAAAAGCCATGACAGCCATGTTACTCCCTTACCCAGTCGCCTCTCTTTCTCCCTCTTCCCCTTTATCGCTCTTCAGCACGGTAACTCGATTGCGTCGCTTTCTTTTCACTGTATCTTTTTCATTCCCGTTTCACATTTGGCTCATAATTTTATAGTTTTTTTTCTTCTTTCTTTCTTCTGGCTATGCCCGGAAAGCGGATGTAACGCTGTGTCTGTGGCTCAGCCCAACGAAAATCGAAAGTTCAAGACGATGACGCTGTGGACTTTTTTTTCTTCTCATTTTTGGATATCTTTTGTCGTCCGAGATGTCGTGAGCTGGTTTTGAAAGTGAAATGACCACGAATAACAAACAAGCGAATGAAAACTAGATAAAAGAAGCGTCATATATCAAAATTGAGTTAAACTTGAACATCTCTTTTTATACGAAGCTGACTGCACGTAAATACATTCTAATATCGTCTCAATATGCATTTGTTGGTGCAGTTTTTCCCCCTATTCTGTTTGGAGCGTTTCACTCGCAGCTGAAGAAATCTGGCGTTAAATGAATAATATAGCAATCTTAATGTATTAATGCGCTATAAACAAGAAAGTCGAAACTGGTACAAATCAGAGCATAACTGCAATTTCGCTGCCCCAATACAGATACAGACACGCAGCGCCAACTGCTGGCCAGTTAGTTGCAGTTGCACTGGGAGCTAGAGCTAGAGTTTTCCGTGACTCGCGATTGTATCTGCGAGATACTTGCTCTGCATAAGTCTTTCTCTCTCTCTCTCTCTCTCTCTCTCTATTTTTCCTCTGTTTCTTTCCATCTGCGTGTGCATGTGATTGATGCCGCTTAAATGGCTGCATAAATAAGCAATTTGCATTGATTTACATGTTCGCATATGTGTGGCTAAATACGTGTTCATATAAGTCTTCTATTTCAATGGAAAGCGCATCCAACTTGGCTTTAAAAAAACATAGCTTAACGTTAAATCTAACATCTTAACCACTTCACAACGTCACTGTTAAGCTAAGCTCTCTCTTATTGTCGTCATTCGTTATTTTGATTGATTGCCAATGCGCTGGCTAACATTGTTCATGCTGTTAAACAGTCAACAGCGCCAGTGTTAAGCTACGCTCTCTCTGTTATGTTAATTCCTTATTTTGATTGATTGCCGTTTAACATATTCTGTGACTAACATATTGCTGTTAAACCTTTTACAGCGCCACTGTTATGACCCTTGATACTTTTGATTGATTGTCGTTTAAGTTAACATTTTGCACGCTGTTAAATGGCCAGTTACGCCACTGTTCAGCTCAGCTCTCATTCTGTTTCTCTCTCTCTCTCTCTTTGTTATGCTCGTCATTTGTTGTTTTGATTGATAACCATTTGCCTGCTTCACATTCTTGAAAGCTATCGTTAGCAATTGTTAGCAGCCCCGCTGTTCAGCTAAGCTCTCGCTATCTCGCTCTCGCTCACTAACTTGGTTTTCTATCTTGGCGCTGCTTCGAATTACATTGATCAACAGCACACAAAGTGCCGTTCAGTGCGACTGCAGCGCACTTGCTGTTTTTCTTTGCGCTTTGCCGTGCTTCATTCGTTCCTTGCCTCTGCATCCGCCTCTGCTTGCGCATTGATCTCTATTATACCGCTAGCAGTACAGCTCATCAGAGAGTTTTTCTTTTAGTTTTCGATCAACCCATCAATATGCCACACAATGGACACTCGCACTGATTTGCATTCGAATTGAATTGGATATTGATAAACGGTAGTCCGTCGCGTCGAAAGTGAGCAGATCCGCTACACAGCTTGGTTTGCATATGTATGAAAGACGCCGCACGCTCTATCGCTCTCTCACTTGCGCGCTCGCTTGCTGTCAACTTGGAAGTGGGCCACTCTAACTGTATAGCGTTTGGTGTTTCCTAATTGAATTGAAATCATATTGATTGGGCTATCGGACAGAGATCTGATTTTTTCTCAACTTGTCGGTTGTAAGATTCATCTTTTTACACTTTCTTCCCGGACAGACAGCTGTGTGGCACTTACCTGTGTGTTGAATGCCAGGCACAAGACTAAGGCCAAGAGGCAACTGTGTCGCGTATAGTGTCCCATATTGATTGGTGCTATATAAATCCGCTGACTATATAGCCTGCAAGTATGTATATATATCTGTGTGCCGAATCTCTGGTCTGTCTATCAGTTAAGATCAAAACTGTTTGTTTTGAGTCTTTGCTGCTGCTGCTGCTGCTGAAGCTGCGGCTGCTGTTCGTCTCTTCGCGTTCCTCACTGCTTTCTTCTCGGGTTTGTTGATCTTTTGGTGTCTCTTTCTGTAAGTAGCAGAATAGAAAGGGGAACAAGGGTAAACAATGCAGCCAAACAGTTCAACTTTAGCATGAGCTAAATGGAATAGCGACTCTGTTAACAGTCACAGTCGGTCTGTGCATTTAACATTAACATTCTCAGAATATATGCACAGCATATTATACAGGGTGTTATATATTCTCGATGACCTTGTCTTTACTTTACTTTTAGTGTATCATTCATAACATAAAAAACAATATATGCACATTTAAAAATATTTTAATAAATATCGAATTTAATTTATTTGATTTATTTATATTATCCATATATCCATTGCATCCATAGAAAATATCCACAATAAACACCAAGTTTTAGTTTAAAAATATTTTTGATATATTAACTGCTTTTATTAAATTTTAAATTAAATAACTTTTTGAATATATTTTTCTGGTTTATTTAGACATTAGAGCCACAACAAGCTAAATTAATGACAGCCGCTTAATGGCTTAATGCTCATAACTTGAACAGCACTTAAATGACACTTTATATATATGATAAAAGCACACAGATATACACACTCACACTGGCACACTCACACACTCACGCGATCATTTAGTGCCGCCGAAACTGCATTTTATGTAAAGCAAATGAAAACTCGCGGGCAACAAACAGGAACCACTTTCTATTTTCACTATAACAGTACAACGAGGAGCTGCAGCAGCAACAACAACAAAAACWACGACAACGAGCCTCGCCGCCAACGCAGTTAGTTGCAAGTTTTCTTCACAGTGGTTGGCCCCACTTGATGGGCCCCATTAATTTGTATTTGTTTTTGTATTTGATTTTGTATTTGAATTCGTATTTATATTTTTATTTGTGTGCTTTTATTCCGTGCTGTGCTTACTTTACAGTTTGGCCTAGCATAGCATTAACATTATGTTAACATTCGCTAAACATTTCACGTGCCGCGCGCTTGCTTCGAATTCGAATTCGACTTCGACTATGGAATTGAACTTGAGAGTTGAAGACGTTGCCGCTGCGCCTGCGTCTGCGTCTGCTTGCCGATTGAGACTGAGCAACGGAGCTCAGCGCCGACTGACGATCGCATCTGAGGCGCAGCTTTCACACAGCTCCAACTGAAGCTGGCTGACTGCTGCCTGCTGCCGAGCCGAGCTCAGGTTGCCGCGCCGGCTGCCGCTTGATGCTTGGAGCGTGGCACAGTGAGGGGCGGAGTATAAAAATATATATATGAAAAAAAAAGTAAGCGGCGGCTGCGGCGTCTGCGTCGCATTTCACTTGACTGAGTGTTGAGTATTTTTTTTTTTTTTCATTTTTGGGCTGCCTGGGTGAATGTTGTAGCGGGCAGTTTTACTTTTACAGATGGCAGCAACAACAACAGCAACTACATCAGCAGCAGCCCATCATATTGCACCGTGTTCAAGAGGCAGAGCAAGAGCACACCCCATGTAAATGGAGTTTTAACAAGCCTTGGCCATAAATCGACGCGCCAGCTAAAAATAAAAACCGGCTTGTCAGTCACTCCGTCAGCCAGCCAGTCAGCCAGTTAGCCAGTCGGCAAGCTGCCATTGAGCAAGTGTACTATTAACCCACTGAGACAGTAACGGACGCTGCGTCGCTGCTTTGCTGTTGGCAGCGCTGTCAACGCCTCTTGACCCTAGCCAAACAAACGCCGAGTTAGCTCGTTACGCAATGCTCCCAAAAGAACTTCAATGAATGGGGCTGACCACAATGTGTGTGTGCGTGTGTGAGTGTGTGTGTGCGTGCGTGTGTGCGTGTGTGTGTGTGTGTGGGCAGCTCAGTTTAACGGTACTTTGTACTGCTGCTACTGCTTCACTTTCTTCCTATTCGACTATTTTCACCTGAGCAAAAATAAAACAACAACAAATTAGCTGTCTCCCCATTTGCATACGAAAGACTTAAGACACAAATTTGGCAATTAACAAGCAGCGAAATTTTTGGCTTTTTCTTCATCTCAATTTTTCTTTGTGGTTTTTGCTAATTGCTGCTCCAGCGCAGCTACCACAAAATGATTCGTTATCAAATCAACGCATCGCTAAATTAGACAAGCTATTCAGAAATGTATATGTATGTATGTCTAGGTAATAGGCCGCATATAAGATACACTGACTCAGTTGTTAATTTAGACTAGCTCTGCAGAAGGCAACTCTCTATAAAACTATATATCACTAAGAATAATATCAGCATTCCTATATAAATATTTAGTATAGTACATATGTATAATATATATAATGTCAATTATCTTTATAATATATGCATTTCTATATAAATGTTTAGTCAAGAATATATCTGTGCTGGGCTTATAGTCAATGTACTCCTCCAGGGTTAGTGTATAAGAATGCCTTCTAGGCAGCTCTTGTGGCTGATTGGCATTTGGATGATGAGCCACGCTCAGCTTAAGTGAACATTGTTATTGTTGTCATTGTCATTGTTGTTGCTGTTGCTGTTGTTGTTTATAGTAATGTGTAACTGCTGCTGATGCTGATGACTGACTTGGCTTGTTATTTGTTGCTGTTGTTGTTGCTGTTGCTGTGGTTGTTTGGCATAAGGCAAGTGAAAGTTGACGTTTGCCATGCGCAACTCCCAGCGAGCTTTCGTCTGGCATCTCTTTTTCATATAAGGGCATTGCTGCTGCTGCTGCTGTTGCTGCTGCTGTTGTTGCTGCTGTTGCTACTGCCTTTTGTTTTCTTTTTTAATTAACACACTCAAATTACTGCTTACAGGCATTTCTACATATCGTTATCGTTATCGCACGCGTTATCGCCGCCTCTACACAAAAAGCAAACAAACAAAAGAAATGCTTTTTCGGTCTTCCTGTCTAATTAGCTTAGCGGCAGCTTCAACTGCAGCTGCCAAGTCTTTTGTTACTGGCAAACATTAAATAATGTGAAAAGTGCCAGCAGCTAGTGAAAATGCAATGAAAAGTTGTTGCTCTTGTTGCTTGCTTGCTGCTTGCTGCTTGTGGGTTGTTTGTTTGCTTTAGCAGAGGGAGCTCTGCTTGGCGTCCGTCTATTGATTGAAATGACAATTGTAGCTGTCTCCTTGACTGGTCGTTGTCGTCGTTGGCTAGAAACTAGGTGAACCACTGCACTGTGGCACAAACACACACACACACACACTCACACACAGACTATTTGTTCTAATTCTTGATAATTTACCTGGTGTGCTCAGATGACCAACAATTTGGGCTAGATGAGCCGGATATTGAGCAGCATCTGACTTTTGTTGCCATCGACGACCCACGAATTGCAGCAATCAATGCCAACTGGCATCTCATGCAGCAAGAGTTGGGCATTATCTCCACAGATATCGATCTCTATATATATCTATAATTATCATTTAGTTTACTGCATGCCAGCGCATTCCATCGCTGTCAATTAGCCAAGCCATAAAATGCATTTGATGTAACATAAAGCTAATTTCTTTGCGGCTTTTGATGAGTTTTTGGCAGCTAGCAGCAGCAGCAGCAGCATCAGCTGCTTGGCTATTTCCATTAAATTAATTGAACGCTTTCACAAATTCCCACTGCCGCACACTTTTTGGCAAGACAAATGTCCAGCATCCAAATTGGGAGGGGGAGGCGGGGAGTTTACGGCAGCAGCTATAGATTTTTGCTTAATTGAGCACGCCTGAAGCTGACAAATTTTCGCTGAGCGTAGCCCAACCCAGCTAAGCAGAGATGAAGCCCAGATGCAGACAATGGGCACGGGTTTTGCTTAAAACACACAACAACAACAAAAAACAGAACTCAAAATTGATTTTTTTTTTTTTCGTTTGTCAATTTTTTATGTGTTGGAATGTTTTTGTTTACCAATTCGATTGCTGCTTTGGCTTTTGCTTGCTAAGTAAAAGTTTCACTGCCAAGCAGATGCTGCGAGCTCACTGTGTGCGTGTGTGTCTCTCTGCTGCTTCTTTAATATAACGGCAACGAACACACGCACACATGCGCATTTGTGGTTGTGGTTGTGGCTCTAAATGATCGATATTATTTGCCATTGTGGCATAGAAATTGTAGCCCCCCATGCGTAATTAAGCACTAACATATGTCTCTATCGAGCCAGCTGTACGTGTATGTATATGTGTGCATACATACATGTACATATATCTATATTGAGCTGGGATGCTGTGAAAGTGAAATTGTTAACGCCAAAGAAAAGCAAACAACAAAACAAATGTTAACCACCAAGGTTTTACACATGCTTGTTGTTGCTCTTGCTTTTGCTGTTGTTGTTGTCTCTTTGGCTGGCTAGTGAAGGGGCAATTTACGTTTCATTTCATTTAGTTTGGTATGTGCCAGCCACTCGGCTAACTTCAGCTCTTCAGTTTCTTTATAGCTATTAAGTAACGATTTTTTCCCCATCTCGGATAGTTTTGTCAAAGGGCAATTGTTCGTGTCGCTGGAACTGGGCCGAGTGCCCGAATGCGCGAGCGCATTGCCAGCATAATTGTTGAAGATCTTTATAAAACAAAAGTAGTAAACTTTATGGCCATAAAAATTGCTAACAAAAAAATAATTAAGCAGCCAATAAAACGATTTATGTAACAAAAAATAAAAAAGGCTATCAATTACTTTTTTCTGCTAAAAAAAAAAAAAACGAATGACTTAGGCAACAAACTTGGCTGCAATTTCACAAATGCCCGCAGCCAAGCGACTTGGCATTATGTAAAATAGAGCAGACAATTAGTTTTCTATGCTCCAGTTTCATGTTGTTGTTGTTGTTGTTGTTGTTGTTGTTGTTGTCGCGACAGTTTGGCGACAATTAAAAAGTGATAAGGCGCCCGCAGTCTTGCAGTCAACTCTCCGCCTAG